GACAAGAACTTCCATCGCATGAAACTGCAGTACCTGGACGAATACCCGAATGTAAGTGCAGGGGAACACACCCTAAACCTTTAAACCCTAAACTCTAAGTGGGTACTGAATATTCTGAAACGAGTGCCCTGAATGTTGGTGCGAGCTATTTCACATTCATAATGTGATATGTCTTGTAGATAGGTTATAGGATAGTCCATGTCTGTTGCGTATGAAGTGGCTGGTGTGAGTTATTTCACATTCATAATGTGATATGGCTTACTGATAGGTAATAGGATAGTCCATGTCTGTTGCGTATGAAGTGGTTGGTGTGAGCTATTTCACATTCATAATGTGATATAGCGTACTGATAGGTAATAGGATAGTCCATGTCTGTTGCGTATGAAGTGGTTGGTGTGAGCTATTTCACATTCATAATGTGATATAGCGTACTGATAGGTAATAAGATAGTCCATGTCTGTTGAGTATGAAGTGGTTGGTGTGAGTTTTTTCCCATTCATACTGTGATATAGCTTAGTGATAGGTATTAGGATAGTCCGTGTCTGTTGCGTATTGGGCTATTGGTGTGTACTGAACTTTTGGCTGGGTACCCCAATGTCAATTGAGTGATCTGGCAACAACGCAAACCCAACATCAAAATGTTCTTCAACTCATCGCATCATTCAAGGCAGTCCGGGATATCATTTAGTTCGTTCACAGACACTATGATGACTTTGACCGCCTAAGGTATCTGGCTGGTCTAAACCCTTAAACCCTAAACCCTAACCCATGCTCAATCTGTCCGCTGTTGTAGGTATCACAAGAGACTATGAACATCCTGAGTCCTCAGTTTGCGGCCGACTTCGAGCAGGTGATGGTGAAGTACGGAATGCGGGCTAACGACGTGCTACAGACGGGCGGAGAGACCACGTGCACAGCCAACCCGCACGGTCGCATGGGCATTCTCATTGGACTGCACACGTGTGGTGTGTTGGCTGAAACGGTGGTGGGCGTGTGGGAACGATTTAAAGCAGGCAACGGCACAGTGCACAGTCCCAATGGCAGCAGCACGAGTGGCGGGCTACATGGACGCACCACAGACTACGCAGCCGCGCATGTGCAAGCGAGAGAAGGAGACGCGCAGACACCACCAACCACGCACAGGCAAGCAACGGCCGCAGCAACGGGGGACAGGGCGAGCACGTGGGGCATGAGTCATCCAACACGTGGTGGTGCACCGACCCATGGCCACGCACAGGCGGTTGAGGGGGGGGGGCTGCGGCTGCACGTGCTCATGTTGCTGCCGTGTTGTTTGCCTCGTGGCGACAAGCAGATTGCGCGCGATGCGAGAGAGGCTGGGCTGTGTGTGCACAGCGCGTGGGAAGACTCTCTGCTGCAACGGATTGGGAGTGGAGGTGTGAGTGAGAAGGGCGTGGCCACAGACGAGCACATGTTGTCTGAGAGGAATACTCTGCTCTACGGCCTACAGACCATGATCGAATAAACCAATACACCAGGCGGGGAGAATGCACACTCACCCTCGAGAAGCTCTTGAGCGGTAAATCCGAAGACGAAAGAGCAAATTGTGATGTACTTTGTGTATGTACATATAACTATGTACTATGTGAGTTGTGTGTCCAATAACAATTTAGATGTGTGAAGTTCGGGGTCAGGTATTGTGTTGTCGATTTTCAGCCACCACACCTTATTCGACGTAGGCTCCAGAGACTTCTACATTATATTTGTTCATATAGAAACTCTATTGATAAAGGACAATATCCGATGCAAAAGATCCCAAAAAAATGGATGTGGTTACCTTGCCCAATTTCGGTTGCCATGGGGCCTACATGGTCTGTTCACAGAAATACCCAATGAGTGAGATATAACGCGGGCAAACGGTAGTGCTTTGGATGTGGACACTAAATCCTTTGGGTGTGATGTGAATCTCTTGGTGAAGTGGTGACGTTGGTATTCACGAGGTTGACCGAATGTGTTTCATGACACGTGGAAGCCATTCAACGTTTGTTCTAAGGCGAATAACGTCAGTGTGTGGTTCAACCTGTGCCAAAGGTCATACGACGCTCAGGCGGAGCTTGCTTAGGGCTGCGAAGTCTGTACGCTCTATGCGCAACCAACGAAGCTGTCGAACGAGCCCGACAGCTGCGTGCTCTATTGAAACTGTACAAACATCTATTCGAGTCAGTGCTTTTTGATAAACTAAGTATATTATTGCGCAGAGTGTCTATCTCGAAGCTTGTAGTATTGGTGTCGTGAATGGAGGACATTCTGCTGCCTTCGAATAGGCCCCCTACTGGTTTTGCTAAGCAAAGTCGTAAAGAAATGACACTACGCGCCTGTTTCATTTAAATGTCCCCAAATGATCATTCTGATGTACGACTACCGTTTACGTAATTGAACAGCCCGAAGTAAGTGAGTGCGTTCAATGCCGCGGGACGATGAAGGAAGGACTTAGGCCAGCATTACATGGTTGGAGGCTGTACAGAAGTGTGAGTGGTAGGTCTCATACCTCTCATTTCAGTTAAACGCCACAGGCAAGTATGGCGACAACACATCCATCTATGGCCACTTGAAAACAGTCAGGATATACACGCAGTATATAGGGAACCCTTGGGCAATCGCCACGGAGAATGAATGCAAATGGGTTGTGACATTGAGCAAAGCTTTAGTTTTATCTGACTATATAATTGTAACTATAGGTCTTTCTAAAAAAAACAAAAACAAAAACACCAAACGATGCAAAACAACATAACTCAAAAATATACACTATGCTTCTTTTAGAGGGCTATACAAACAACCGTTGTAACATGACCATCAATCAAAGTGAATAAAGCAACCGCTCGCTCATCGGAGTGTTGCACTTGGGGTAAGTCTCGATCTCGTTAATCTGATTTTTAAACACGCCAACCGATCAAATTCAAAAAGCTAAATAAACAAGTCCTAGGCTCTTCAGTATTCACTGTCTGGGGTGGGGTGGTTGGGCTGTCCAAAATGGCAATGTACAAAAATATAGCACTTCCTATAAAAAAGTTAGGAGGCTCTCTAAAAAATGTATTTGTTGGCAAATGTATTCGACCTGTGGTCTGTGGGCTGCCTGTGGCTGTGGCCCGTGTGTCTGCTCAGTGGTTGCTAGTATAAAAAGCCGATTTTTCTGATTTGACACGAACCGTTTGCCATATTTCCTCTGGCTGGGCGGGATAAATCTTAAATCGACATTCGACCAATATAAACGATTACATACAGGACTTATGTATTTGTTGAGTATATATACCCTAAGTCACAATTTACCTAGAATGGTTGAGACTATACATAGCAAACATATACAGACTACTTCCAAGTTGGTTGGTAGCAGGAACAGACGCGGCGAACGAAGGTAGATTCACATCGAACAAAACAAAACTCAAGGGTGTATAAGAAATGTGCAGGTGTCGGACGACAGTAATTATGAGATTGAAACAGAGAGCGATGATTCTGAGGAGAACGAAACACCGGGCAAAGAGCAACAAAGTGCACGGTCACAAATGGAGTACGCTCGCGAGAAATCAGGGCGATTCGGTGGGAAAAAAACAAGCCGACAAGGGCAGAACGTCGATTGAGAGTTTGAATCGGAAACGTCCGAGAATACTGGGTGTATATTGAGCGTACAAGGCGTAGAAAGAAGTCGATTCTAAAGCGTGCAGCTGTTGGTACTGCCGGTTGAAGTTCATTCGGGTTTAGACAGAAGTGTATCGTATGTAGTGAAACAAAATGTGACTATTCAGAGTTGGATCGGGAATCAGAGCGAAGGTGTCGCTTCAACAATGGGGGGAATGACAATAGTTGAGGAGAGATGTAAAGACAGAGTTATAGCAGTACCCAAGATTTGGGAATGTAAATTAACTGTTGTGCAGCGAAAGCCCAATCCATGCGGAGATTGTGGCAACTGTTTTCTTCAGCTTGAACCTGATTTCAAGGAGTTGAAATCTCTACTTGAAGAAATTTGGAATAACAATGTGATCAAATGCAGCTTCCCCCCAAATATCACTGTGATTGTAATTATATATAAAGATACTGAGGCTCTGTATGTATGCCGTAAAACCGCCTTTACAATTATGAAGGCCTCAAATTGGCACTGATCGATACCTTAGTTAACAATACCCTGGCCAGGATTAGACGCTTTGCCAGACATTCTTATAGATAGATACATCTGTACTCCAAAAGAATGACGGGTATTGCAGCGGCGTTTGCACAAAGAAAATATGCATCGCATAGACGCGTGCCTAATAAGGTGTATTTTACTGTCGATGAATTTGTAGACAGAAATTGTGAATAATAAAGCATAATAAAACAAATGAAACTTCTTGAGCAGTCTAAAATATGTTAGATTAGCTTGTAAATAAATGTTGTTCTGAAGCATAGCCTCCATCTAATTTAGAAGGCGGCTACAATGTGAAGGCTCTGAACTGAGTATGTAAATAAATAATCTGAATCCGATGAGTTCAGGTCACTAGACTCAAAAGAGTTTGAGACCTGATTGGATTGTTTTTTTATATAGTCTCTTTGTGTTTAGGTTTTAGTTCAAGAGACCTAAGAACAGTTTAGAGATTGCCTTTTTTTAAGGTTTTTAGGGTTTTAGTCAGGCCAGAACACGTTCGTTTAGGGTTGTTAGGGTTTAGATGAATATGTTGCGTATAATGTGCACAAAGGTGATATAGATGAAGAGAGTTGTATTGTACCAGGTAGGCAGGGATATCTTTTCTAGTTTGTCAAAGCAACACATCGGGTAGGTGAGATACGTAGGCGAGATAACATATATCACATTTGATACAAACTTTGCAATGTCGAGCTCAGACTCCCCTTCTAGAGTGCGCGTGACTCTGTTGAATGTCGACAACGGACAAAAGGCGGCAGTCGTATTAAAGTCAGACTATAATGCTATCGTAGCTGCGTGCAAGAATAAACTGCGTAAGCGTGCCAAAGGTAAAAGCCCCTTATATCTATGGACTAGCTCACCCGGTATAACTTTGCTGTCCGAGAGCACTATCGAAAGCGTAGTCGACGGCAAGACGATTTATGTCGCAAATTTCCCACCTCAGGAATGCGAAGGTGATGACGAGACCCAACAAGGTGTGTTGTCGTGCATGTCTTCCCGCAAGGCGTTGGCTGCTGTCGCACAGTATCCACGTGCACATGGGTGTACATAATACCGATTAAACTTCATCGATTGATCTATCGCCGTTCGTATCATTTCTTGGTATAAGTTTGTATACTAAATTTATGTGTATTCTGAATCCTATGTGTACATTCATGTAGAGAGGTCCTGGGTAGGTGCAATTAGATACCAAAATGGCCTCGATTGTGAAGTGAAATCTCCAATAGTTTAAAAGAGTCGTCCTTGTAGGTCCTTTGAGTGTCGAAATGCACGAAGCCCTCGATTGCACCGATATGAGTTCGAATCATCTTCTGGTACACACGTACGTGTATATGGAATATAGTATTTAAATATCCTTATTCTGCAAGTGAAAGTAATTTGAATAAATATGAGATAACGATATAATCACACACACATAATTATACACACACACGCACGCACACACATACACACACACACATATATATATATATATATATATATGTGTGTGTGTGTGTGTGTGTGTTTGTAAGTGCATATGTATATAAATATGCACATAAACATATATACATACACACACATAT